GGTAATGGGTTAAAACTTAAACAGGGGAAGTTTAGATTGGATATAAGGAGGAAATTCTTTCCTGTTAGGGTGGTGAGGCACTGGAATAGGTTGCCCAGGGAGGCTGTGAATGCTCCGTCCCTGGAGGTGTTCAAGGCCAGGTTGGACGAGGCCTTGGGTGATATGGTTTAGTGTGAGGTGTCCCTGCCCATGGCAGGGGGGTTGGAACTTAATGATCTTAAGGTCCTTTCCAACCCTAACTATTCTATGATTCTATAAGGCTTGGTCCTCCCAGGGGCAAGTTTCAGATGGCTGTGAGGAAGGACAGTGTGAGGAGAAGATGACCTGAAGCCTGGGCAGATGCACTGAGGTCTGCCCAGCAAAGGGCTCTTAGGAAAGAGCAAATGCATCCCCAGCAGCGGAACACGGTCCCATCTATGCTCTCTATCTGCTGCCACTGCCTGTGCCACTGGGGTGGCAGTCCCTGGGGAGGCACCTGGCTGGGCAATAAGCCATCATCAGAGCTGAGCAACTGAAATAAACAGTTTATTTCACTCATCTGGCAACTTGTTGAGCTCTGGGCCTCACGCCTGTGAACTTCGCTCATTCAGAGTGACTTGGGAGCATCATTTGTTCTGTGCTGCGTAGTGAGGAGGAGCTGTATACATCCTGTGCTGTTGCAGCCGTTCGTGGGCTGGGTCCCTTTTTTCCTCACTTAAATACTCTCCAAAACAGCAGAACAGCTTGTGAAGGGTAAGCTTTCCCTTCCAAATGACCCAGCCCTAGCCTGCAAATGCCTCACGGTGCTGACAGCCCTCCATTCCAGGGCACAGAGATGGGAATGTCTTCATGCCTTCACACCTACTGAGTGCCACACTTGCACTCGTGGTACCTGAACCCAGCTTCCAGCCTGGAGCCCAGGTCCCATTAGCAGTCGCTTTGCAGTGAATCCAGCCTGACGCAGAGGACTCAGGGGAATTATTTTGGATCCATGGCAGTGTAATTGAGGGCAGGATCTGGCCCTGGATCCCCAGCTGGGTCAGACGGGTTCAGTTCAGTGCCCCCCTGAACTGGGATCTGTTTACAGACACCCTCCAAAGGAGCCCGTGGACAAACTCCCCCATGCAGGGATGTGTCTGTGCATCGAGCCCTCTGCTTTCAGAGCAGGAAATACTGGGTTTCAACACTCGGAGTTAAACATTTCCGCAGAGCCCAGGAGATGCTGCAAACAGCAGGAGCACCACGGCTCTGCCTTTTCATCTCTCTGGCACTGGTGAGCAGGGGGTCGGCAGCGGGGGAAGCAGGCAGAGCCGAGGAGGGTAAACACTGGAGCGGAGCCTACTGAGTAACCAGAGAGCAAGGGGAGAGAGAGGGGCAAAGAAAACAAAAACACAGCTGCCAAAAAACAAAAGCCTGAAAAGAGCCATTCAGGGTCTCCCAGGAGCGCGTTTGGCACAGGGCAGCAGTGTTCACTGCTGGAGCAGGCTCCGGTCCAGCCCACTCAGGGATATGGACCCTGGGCAAATCAAAGCTGCCTGCTGCCCCGAGCAGGGTAAGCGTCGACACCCCAGCACCATCCAGCCACACAGAGTGCAGCATCCTTTGCTTCTTAATGGTACCAGGATGTCCCTGCTCTGGAGAAGAGGGATGTATGCATCTCACTTCACCTGTGCATTCAAGTGGGTTAAAACTTAAACAGGGGAAGTTTAGATTGGATACAAGGAGGAAATTCTTTCCTGTGAGGGTGGTGAGGCACTGGAATAGGTTGCCCAGGGAGGCTGTGAATGCTCCGTCCCTGGCAGTGTTCAAGGCTGGGTTGGACAAGGCCTTGGGTGATATGGTTTAGAGCGAGGTGTCCCTGCCCATGGCAGGGGGGTTGGAACTTGATAAACTTAAGGTCCTTTCCAGCCCTAACTATTCCACGATTCTATGATTCACAAACAAAAGCCAGGGACTTGCAATGTGCATCCTCTCCCTCTCCTAGCACCCCACACTGGAGATCTGGGTACCACTGCCCAGTATGAGACATCACAGTGTGGGATGTGCCAGGCTTTGGGGCACGCTGTGGATGCGGATGCTGCTGATTTGGGGAGACGCATCCTGCTGGCAGCCTCTGTGGCACTGCAGGATGCAGCAGGTTTCATGGACCTCAGGAGAGTTGCGTAGGTGTCCTTCTGGCTCTGGATATGATCCCTCCCTTCTGACTGTCACATGCACTTAGCCTTGCTCCTGCAAAAGCATGGTTGTCAGCCCCTTGGGCCAGGAGCCAGGCTCCTTCTGCCTCCTGCTTTGCAATCTGTACATCAGGGAACTTGGCTGCATGTCCAGGTCCCTGGTCTCCTGCCCCTCTGGAAGCCCTTACTCCAATGCAAGCACCAGCCTCCTGCACTCATTGGATCAGGGGATCGTCCCTGTCTGTCGCAGGGATGTGGGGTGACAGCTGTCATGTCCTTCCTTGGCAGAAATTGGTCACCGTACCATTGATGTAGTCAGTGGGTAAGGCCATTGCTGCTCATTTCTTCTGCTGGCCCAGGCTGAGGTTGGGAGTGGCCATGGAAGGCATCAAAGCACCTTCCCATGACCTGAGATCTCTACTCACTGAAATCCAGAGTCACCCCTGCTTAGGAGCATGCAGCCCATGGGAAAGCCCTGAAGAACTAGCAGGGGGTGAGAACCTGGGTGTGCAGGAGGTTGAAAAAGGCACCAGCCTGTTGGAACTGACGTGGTCCCCAAGAGGGACCCCATCTGCTGGTCTAAGGCTGTCCATCCCAGCAATGGGGTCCAGGACACTGTCATCCCCTCCCTAGAGAGCAGAGACCTGGGGATGCTCAACCTCCAGCTCACCCTGTGGTGCTGCTGAGAGCATCCCTGCCCCACCATCCCAAGCTGTGGGTGGCAGGCGAGGGGCTCACGGGCCCCACGGCAGTGGCTTGGGCTGGGAGCAGGGATGCGGTGCGGTAGGGCGGAGGGCAGCCTGTTTATCCATCCATCTGCACACCGCACAGCAGGGATCCAGCAGGATTTCCCGTCCGCTCAAAGGCTGCCTGTTTATTTTGGGAGGGAGACTCAGACAGTTCCATTGTTTCGCTGTGAAGTTGGGGTTATAAATAGCAGGTGGTCGGGGATGCTCTGGGGCTATTTTGGGCCCCCACTATACAAAAGTGGAAAAGCTCCAAGAGGAAGGTGGAATTACTGAAATGCCGACCTTTCCCGCAAGGGTCAGCAGGAGTAGGCTGTTTGGGTTGGGTTCTGGGCATTATTTAAACACAAGGGAAGGAGGAGAAAGGAAGGTGCTCCCAGTTGCATGGAATTCATTCTGTGTCCTCCCCAGCAGAAAGGTGGTAGGGATGAGGAGATGAGGTGCCTGGGCTCTGCCCAGGAGCCATCAGGAGCAGCTCAGATCCAGTGGAGAGACCACCTGCGTTTCCCTCTGCAAATGGAAGAGTTCCCATTGGATGGAGAATAGGGAAGTGGAGGATGCCACATAGCAGTGGCCTGCCCCTACTTGTCCCTCATGCCTCAGTTTCCAACCACTTCTATAGGGAGGCTGAAGAAAAGGGCAGGTAACACCCTGCCAACAGCCCCTCTCCTGCCAGGCACATACTGTGTCCTGCTGGAAGGCAAGGATGAGCCAAGGTGACCCTCAAACTTATTTCAGACCCTTCCTCTTATTAAATGCCTGTGCCAGGCAGTTACACAGTGAGCAGCAGGACCCAGTAAAGCCACTCACACCCATGTTTTACACTTTGAGAAGGTCTATTCCTTTAATGGGGATTCATTTAACTGGGCTCTGCCATCGTTAGGAGCCATAAAATGGCACCTTTTGGCTCCTGATTGGAAGGCCATGATGCACGCAGCCCCTCGTATCCAGCATCGGCTGCTTTATTGTGCATTACTGCCTCTCACTCGGATTTAACCAATTTGATCCATGCCTAATACATAAATAAATAATCCAGCAGGAGGGTTCACGTTGGATGACAACAGGCGGCTATAAAGCATGTTTCTCCCTGCCAGAGCCATCTGAACCAGGCTCCGCACGCCCTCTCATGAGCAGAGCTGCTAATACAGCTGGGAGAGGGGGGCTCGGAGACCCGCGGGCTCCTCTGTTTTATTGAAACTTCATTGTTTGCTTTAGAGTTTTTATTTCGTGTTAAATAGACGCTGTATATGCCTTACAGAGGGGGCAATAAAGTTTCTGAGCTGGAGGAAATTGGCTTCGGAGAAGGGATTGAACCAAGGAGATGTGGTTGGAGAGGGGAACAGCAGGAAGGGGTTTTGGAGAGGACGGTGTGAGGCTGCATCCTGCTTCCAGGTGGCCCCAGGGGCTTGGGACTGGAGACCACAGGCATCTCACCTAGGAACGATGCAGCCTCAGGGTCCTGGGCTCAAGCAGATGAAGGGTCCAGACCTGCTGGTGGTGAGGAAAGGGCAAGGGGCACCACCCCAGACCAGGAACAGGGTGAGCCAGGTCCCAGTCACCACAGGGACAGCCATGCTGAGCATCCAGACCTGCTTCCTGCCATCCACAGCCTGGCACTGCAGGGTCTCCTCTGCCTCCCAACCATGTGCGCCCATGGAGAATCGCTCTGCCCTTTGAAGGGGTCATCCTGATCCACCTGACCTCAGGAGTGCTGAGGAGGATGAAGATGGCTCTTCTTGACTTGCTGTTATGAGTTCTTAGGATCAGTGGGCAGTTCTGTGTCATACCGCCTTGCACCGCAAACTGAGAAAGCCAGGGTTGCATAGTGTCACTCCCAAACTGTGGCTCTTGCTGCTCTCCAAGTAAGACTGGAGTGCCCATAGCAGGAGATGGGATGCTCTCATGCCACTTGCTGTCCTGCTGCAGAACAGAGCTAGTCCCTGACCGAGGGAGCGTGGGACAGGGAGAAAAACAGGGCTATACCAGGAGAAAATTCCCTGGTTTCAGACCTCAGCTATGACAGAGAGCAGGGCAGAGCGCAGGCGGTGCTGACGGCAGCCGATCAGAGCTAAAGCTTTCTTCCTTCTTTCCCTTCCCACAGGCAAAAAGAAAGCGACCTTGTTTGACAGCCAGGCTCCGATCTGCCCCATCTGCCAGGTCCTCCTTCGCCCTGGGGAGCTGCAGGAGCACATGGAGCAGGAACTGGAAAAGCTCACCCAGCTGAACATCAGGTAAGCAGCTCCCTTGGGTCCACCATCACCCTTGCTTAGCCAGCCAGGGTAGCTGTGGGTGGCAGAGGAGATGATGGTACTCACAGCTACCAGATACAGGAGATTTAATGCTAGCCAGTGTGGGGCAGAAACATTTCCCTGGAGTTTACTGCAATGGTAAAGCCAGGTAGAAATGGGTACAGACACCCATTTCCCCACAGACATCACATTGCTCACATCCCTTGATGGAGCAGGCCTGCAGCAACGGTGAGCACTGCTCCTCAGCTGCCTGCAGCTCCCTTCAGCTTTCCCCAGCACAGCAAAGTCCCCTGTTTAAAATAATAATTGCATTCTAAGTGCTAGCAGTTATTTAGGAAACAGCTACAGCCAAGGGTTGGCAGATCCCTGGCCCTGCCTCCATAAAACTCAGCAGCCCTGGAAAAGAACGTGTTTATTTCAATTATTAATGAATCCCCCGGTCATTAAAAGGTGAGGAAAGGAATCAAACTGCCGACTGGAAGCAAAGTTACGTCACCAGGTGGTAGGAGAGGAGGGAGAATGTGTGTGTCAGTGTGCATGTGTGTGCCAGGGCAAGGGGGTGCACGTGGCTGTGCATAGTGCGGAGGATGCAGAATCCACCCCTGCCTGGCTTGGGTCTTCAACTCAACAATAGCCATTGCAGATGAAAGGAGAAGGAGGGAGCTTTAGAAAGAGAGACCTTCCCAAATGGGTCCTGGCTGAGATCTCCCAAATCCAGCACCCACAGCCTCAGGCTGAGACCTGCATCCCCATTGCAGGCATTGCACAGGAAGATGGAGAAGGTGGGGGGGCCGTGGGGAACAGACAGCGCATTTATCCTCCGCGACACCCAGTCCTCCTGCGAGCGTAATTTATGGTGTAATTTGGGCTGCATCCAACTTAATAAAGGGCCACTGCAAATTAGTGAACAGGTTTAAATGAACAGAAGCAATTAGTGCTCGGAGGAGCCCATCAAAGAAGTTGGGCCAATATCAGAGTGAAACTGAAACCGCAAGCCAGGAGCGGAGGCTGGCTGGCGCGAGGCGGTGATGGGAAGGTGGCGTTTAATGGGAGAGGAAAGGAAACCCTAAATCATAAAGCATGACAAGGGCCATTGTGGGCCAGCTGACAAATGAAAAAGAATGGCATTATTCCTTTAAATAACAGCAGCAGTTAGAGAGGAGACAGCTCTCCCCAGCTTGCCCTCGCTTCCCCGGCCCGCTCTGCTCGGCCACGCAGGCGGCGAAGAAGAATCAGAGGTCTTTATTAATTATTAAATAACGACTCCCTCCATAGCGTGATAGATAACGTTCAATCTAGTCGATGGATTCAGGCAATGGAGGCTAATCTGTAACACAGCGGCCCCGCACAGGGATGGACTCTACCAGTCCTGATGGGGGCCAGCAGGCAGCAGCAGGCAGGGTGGGCAGCAATAGAGGGCAGTGGGATGTGAGCAGGTCGAGGTCCTATGTGCTGCCTAGCTCTAGAGGGGCGGCCCGACCCAGCGGGTGGCCCCATCTCCCATTCCACCACCCTTCCCGGCTGGAGGAGCCGGGAGCAAGAACACATCAACAAGAGGAGAGAGAAACTAATAATGGTCTCAAATAACCCAATAAACATAAAAATAAAATGTAGGCCTATAAACATGACGGGCACCGGCAGCCCTGGCCGCTCCCTGCCAATACTGACTTGTTAGGGAAATGGCTGAGCAGCTGTTACTTATCAGTGTGATGGGGAGAAGCGAACCGGGGGGCTGCTTTCCAAGGGCCTTTTATTTTTCTTAATTTAAAGAGGATGCAGCCAATCATGGCTCGTGCTGTTAAGTTTTAATAAACCTTAATGATTTGCAACAAAAGCATAAATTTCCAGCGCTCGGGGTTAGGAAGGCAGATCCCCTCCTGACCACTGAGCCTGCAGTACCAAGGACTCGGTGGGTGACACAGCAGCTCCTGCCACAGCACCGGGGCTCACTGTGTACTGGGATTTCACCCAATGCAGCGTGGCCAAGGGGCTGTGTGGTGGGTGAGCCAGATGAGACGCTGCCAAAGGGCCAGACCAAGAGGGGAGAAGCTGGTAAAGGAGCTGCTTCACGCCATTGACTCTGTTGGGTATCGAGCACTCACCAGGGGCTTTGGGGCATCACCAGAGTGGGGAGCTCCACATTGCTCAGAGGAGCACAGAGGAAGGCAAGGAGGAAAAGGGATTCGTCCAGGTCATCACAGGATCTTTTGGGGGCTGGGATACAAGGGAGCTGTAGGTGTCACCTGGATGATGCTTCCCCATGGTCGCAGCTCACCAACAGCATAGGGTTGCAACCCACTCACACCAATGACTCCTTGCTCAGCTGGTGGTTTGCTATCTCACAGGGACAGGGCCAGCGTTTGTTCCCCAAGAGCAGAGCTGGCGTGAACATCCTGGCTCAGGGCAGGGACATCTCAAGGTCAACCCAGCCAGAGCATCACACAGCGAGGCAGCAGGAGCCATGCTGAGCCACAGGGCAGCACCTATCCATGCCAAGGTGCTGCGCATGCCCTGGGGATGGACACTGGCTGCTGGACCACTGATGGACATCACTCAGAAGGATCCAACCCTGGTGCAGGGTCAAGACTGCCCTTGAAAAAGCAGACTTGAGTGGGAATGAGGGACTGAGTTTCTATCTCTGCTGCCTTCTTGGTGTGTCCAGTGTCCCAAAGCAGGAAATACCTGCTGGTGCTCGCCCCACAGCTCCTCCACCCTGTGTGGGTCCAAGTGAGCCCCGTGCACAGCTCTGCTCAGCGAGGCAAAGCTCTCTGAATGCAAATTTCATTTCTGAGCCACTGGCGCTGTTTCAAGAGCCGGCAGCCTCCGAGCCCTTCTCGGTGTTACATATGTAACAGCCTCATTGAACTTGACATGTCAAATTCAGGCCATTTGTGCAAAATCTCCCTTTAATAATACCGTTTCATTTCGCTCAAATGAGACTTGAATGCATGTAAAATGGAAAAGGATATTTAAGCGCTAACATTAGGCAGATGTCTTGCCAGAGGCCGATTGAATATATGAGATTTTGAAGTGCTTAACACGTTTTCGGTGCTCCCTCTTAGAATATGTCACCTGGCTTTCTTTTTTCTCCCCCTCCTTTCTTTTTTTCCTCCCCCTCTTTAAGTGAAGGGTATAAATTGAAAGAAAACAAAACTACAAGCCTTGCGTTTATGGGCTTTAACTCTTGCCAGCCAAGACTGTTAGCATCCCTCTTCCAAAGAGGAGCTCACCTTCACAGAGCAAAAGCACAAAGCGGCCCCACGGCGCTGTGCAGGAGGGATGCTGTCCTTGCTCTGCATGTACAGATCAGAGAGCAAAAGGTGCCGATCCCCAGCTGAGCAGCTAAGTGCCACCAAGCTGAAAATAAGAACTAATAACAGCAAACCTTTGTGTACAGCGATGCCCTGTGCCCCAGCCAGGCTGGTCGCTGCAGCATACATGAATATTCCTGGCTTGTGTGCATGAAGCTTATCTGTGTGCTAGATGCAGGTCTCCTAGCCTCACTCGATTTATATTCACTTGTTTTACACCTCACCCGTATTAAAGGCTTGCAATAAAGCACAGTGAAACGTGAGGGTCTCTGGAGCTGTCAGTGGCCCCAGCTCTGACCTTTGGCCAGTGCTTTGGCTGCACATGCACTTCTCCAGCCCAGGGCTACCCAGGGAGTACAGGCAGGCACAGCGATTGAGAGCAGCACCCATGGGTGTCCCTTGGCACAGGCACACACACACACCTCCTTGTGCACATACGAGTGTATTGCTGCATATATCAACGCAGGTAAACACCACGAGCAGAGGTGGTGGACCCCTAAACCCTGCCCACTGCTTCACAGGCAGTGACCAACCTGCTTATGATGGGGAGGCTGGATGGAGAAGGGGCAGGTCTGGGGCTATGGTTGGAGTTTGGGGTGGAAGGAAGATGAATTTGATGACAGATGAGGTGTAAGGGAGGCACAGTGGGAGCTGTGGAGCCCGCTGATGGCCCCTGATGGGTCCACGGTGCTTTCTAGGGTTTGGGGAAGAAGCATTTATCGGCCATTTAAAAAGCCTCAGGAAGTCACATTACAAATATTACAGTTGCTGAGTCAAGCACTTGCAGGTTGGGAATGTGCCTTTGGACACCGTGGTTTTATTAACACGATGCTCTGTTCTCCAATATGCAGAGCTCTTTTTAAAACATGCCTTTGGCAGGGGGCATTTTTGCCTCCCTGTGTGACAGCTAACAGTTTCTTCCCTGCATTGCCTTGCTCCTAAGCAAACCTATGCTTCAGAGATGTGATTTCACCTCCCCAAAAGAATGAGGTGCAGAGGGTGTAGCGGTGAGTTGGGCCATGCCAACTCTGCTCCTGCTTTTGCAGGTGAAAGATGGTGCAAGCACAGACAAGACTATCTCAGCTGTTTGCCTTATTTAAAGGGGTTTCTTAGCTCAGCAGATGTAACCAGCAGTATCCTCATGCGATGTAATATTACCCGTGCCTGTGCATCCCAGACATGGACATGGTTGTGCTTCCCCATTGCCTCCAGAGATGGACATGCTTGGTTGGGCAATGGGGGGTGATGCTGTTCTCATAGTGGCCATGGCTGTGAGAACTCTCTCCTTCTTCACTTTTCTTCCTTTCCCTCCTCCACGTTGAATAATTAACCTGAGCACGTTTGTGGTTTAAAGCCCATGCCCACCAGTTGGCTGTTCCCAGCGTGGGCTAGTAGCTCTCATTGCTCCTTGCCACTGTGCTGCTAGCATGGAGACACATCCCTGCGCACCCAGCACCACAGGAGCTACTAATTCCTCCTAATGACCTTTCTGCTGTGTCTTCTGATTCTCTGATTGGGAAACATTTCCCAGAAGACAGAGGGCACCAGGGTCTCTCTCCTTGGTGCAAATGGAAAGTGCTACAGGCAGTTTTCTGGTGACCTCAAAGATGCTGTCGTGAAGAGGGAACCAAATAGTACCAGGGAAAGGAGGGCAAGATGCCATGGGAAGTC